CATTACTGAGGAATATTGCAAAAATRCTTACTTGAACACCATCTTCGCCATTGATCAAGATCCCGTCTTCCTGTAGCCAGTTGTCTCCTTGGTTGCCTTGTCTTGACCATATAACTTGTACTTTATTTGATATTTTATGTCTTGTTATAATCTTCAGTGCACCGATCCCATTGCCATACATGTGGTAAAAGAATGACATACATACATTGCGAGGTACATCTAAGTACATTCTGGCCACTTCATTTTCAACTCGCGGATTTGATGCTTCTATATAGGCGTAAAATCCTGCATCAAAAACGGTATACACATTTAGTTGATATAGTATGGAAGTCATCAGAACTACGTTTTAACCGTTATTTTTCACGAATTTGTAAGGTTTCCTGATATTGGAGGAATAAAACAATGCTCATTGTTTCCTCGATCTTAAAKTCTATTGTTTTCTTTTATTYAACAAATAGCTAGTACACCTTTTGCTGTTCATTAACCGCGAAGGAACTTTCAATCAAGCGAAACTGCATTGTCTTTAGCGCGAACGAACGTTCATTAACGCTTAGGGAGTTTCAAGAGCGTGAAGGGAGAATCATTAAMATATTTAGCAYAGACATGGACAATCATGCATAACTGGGCGCAGATTCATTAACGTTTTCAAACCTTCATTAGCCCATTATGTGCATTCAATAAACTACAACAAACATACAATACCAAAATACGGACATTTAATTTCGTCATAGTTTTTATTTCTAGGATTTAAAGAGTGTTCAATAAGTGTGAAATTTTACATACAAAAATTATCTTCATCCTTGAATATGCTCTCTATTTAAGCATCTTGKTAAATAASTTTGCATAWGGTTGTACCACTGGACTGCTTTTTGAGGTGTTATGGCATTAACGTTTCTTGTGGYAGCTCTGAGTAGGAGTTGTTTTCTCCACTCGCCAAGTGAAAGGCCTTGTCTTCTAGCTTCACCTCTATTATTCATCATGCGTTGTTGTGCTGGCTGAGATAAATGAGCTTTTATAGCTGCTTTGAAACAGCTAATAGCCTCTTCAACAATGTTGAGGAATGGGCTGTATGGAGGTAGTGGTTTGAGTGGCTGTTAGGACCTGGGTTGTTTGCGTTTCGATGGGCTGGTGCATTGTCGTAGATGAAATAAACGTTGCCATTAGCTGGGATTCGTTGGAAAGTATCATTTAAGAAGTTGGCAAACCTCTGAGCATTCATTCCTCCTATTTCTGTTGAATGATGGACTAATCCAGTCCTTGGTGATACGGCCAGAATACAGGTGACATTCCGCCCTCGTTGTCCACAAACCTGTCTGTAGGCCCGTTCTCCCTGGGTTGCTCTTCCGTAGCTTCGTGCGGTCCAGATATTGTATCCGCATTCATCTACAAATATGCAATGACCTATCACACCTGTGTTGAGGAA